AAGGTTCGAGGTCTGCGTGCATCATCTCCCTTTGTTTTATGAAGGATGGTTTTGGACAATTGTCTTGAAGTAGTAAATTGCTGTAAATGTATGTCTGTTGCATAGTTCACATAGCTGAGGTTATTTTTTGTCGAAAGAAACGAAAACAATTAGAAACAGGTCTGAAACTTTTAAAAAGTGCTCAAGGCAAGATGGTCAGAAGAAGCAATTGTCAATTTCAGACATTGTACTGCCAAGGAAGTAGATGCGTGCTTTTCACGTGAGTTTGAAGCCAGATTCAGGTTTGGAGTATTACCGAGTACAAAAGCCAAGAAAATGATTAACAGTTAAATAAATTGGACTGTCGCCCACTGTAATGTAGTTTATCAAAACTGAATGATTCCTATTTGACCCCTTGTCTCCTGACGCGGTTTGATTTCTAGTAGCAGTAGTATACGATCAGCTCCGATATCGAACGCAGTGTTAAACAATCCATGGTTCAAGTTTATTATAAATAAGACACTTCGGAGTGACACCGATACACCTTTACCCTTTGGAAGCGCTGAAAATATTTGTACTATTTATTGAGATGTTGTTACCACTGAGTTTGTTTTTAATTTCGCGAGGTGCTATGTGTTTGACATCGGTTGTGTGATACAGGGTCAGCATACAAGTTGACCAATTTGATTCCCCTTTCATGCTGAACCTACCGAAATCAGTTTGTTGAAAGTAAAACTCGCCCGCTTTGTTAATTCTACATGTCAGCGATTAGGTGCGTTCGAACTTGTTGCAACCTTCAACGAGCAGCTAACAAACTTCTTAACAGAAATGAAAGTTTTGAGTTCGGGAGGTGATCATCATTCAAATCATGACAACAATATCATAGGGAGATGGTGGCATTTGAATTCGTGGTTGACGAGGGCATGAGGATTTGCTGCGACAAAGGCGCCACCTTAGCGAATAATTGTAATTTAAAGATGAGCGACAAAATAACTAACATTTGATTCAAATTTGTGGTTAAGAACAAAATGGCGTATTCGCTCAACAACCCAACTAAAACTCTTGGATTACGAATACTGCTAGTTTTCAGACTCAGTCTTTACTAAATTATGAATCGTCCAAATCGTCGTTTGCAACGGCACCACTAAAATATGGTGTCAGATTACATCGTGTTTCAATTTGAGATTTTAGCACCTTCGCAATAATTAAATTTAAACTAAAGTAGCATACTTGAGTGGATGAGTTGTGTTCTTCTTTCTGAGTACGTGTAGTGTTTTGGGGGACTTGTATTGGGAGTTATTCTGAAGAACGGAAAACACCAGAGTGGAGTTGCTGTAATTTCCTCCAGGTTTCAAGTACCCTTGAATGAAGTTGTTTACCAGAGTTAGGTCTAAAAGAGTCTGTTGTCTCCCTGTTCTTTGAGAATTACAATGCCACTTGTAAGAACCGGAATCGTTAGCGCAATTATTTGTCCCGTAATGATCGAAGGATTTCACAATCTCGCAGAAATCACTTGCCGATATCGCAAAGTAATAACTCATTTCACAAACGCGGTGTAAAAATATTTGAACTCTGATCATTGGACATATGGTTTGAGTTAAAGAAAACCCTTCGATTGCTTCTATTCGCAATAAGAGTGTTTCTTTTTCTAGCGTGGAATTGTTGGCTGCGTAGGAGTCCTGTAGAAATGCTGTTCACTTTTGAACTTCTACCACGTCGTAATTTTATTGTTTAAAATATCTAAACCACATTTTGGATGGTTTGTTCCTCAATTAAACACAAGTTAGAAATAACTATCAATTTGAAGTGAAGTGTACTTAGTGTCAATGGCCTTGGTTTTCCGGCAGAAAATACAATTCATCAATGTTTTGGTTTAACTTCACCTCTAGTATTACTCGTTTGTTTTGTGAAATGTTGCATTACCTACATGGTACATTTGCCAGAAACTCAAATTAGTTGATTTAAGAAAATGTCGTAGTGGCGAATCAATAAAATATCAGTACAGTGATGCTTGTGTTATTTGACAAACAGGTACAAGGCATTTTTGCTGTTTCAATTGAAAGTTTATTGGTTTGGAAACGGCTGGTTAAGGACCATTGGCTTTAGATAATTTTTACTTAACAAAATTTAAATTTTTGGCGTTTTCAGTTGACATTTTGCAGAAATTGAGTTATCAAGGCGGCAATTATTTCACGGGGAGATAAAACGCTCAGAGCTTTAACTGTCAAATAGGCCTTTTCAAATTTTAATTACAAAATAAAATTAGTCTGCTCCCTCGGATGGGTTGTGAGTGGTTAAACAGTGCTTCCCAATACCGGTGGTCGTCAAACTCTGTGCTAATTAGCAATGATGAGAAATTCCAGTTAACAAGGACATTCTCCTACACTCTACTGGATCCCCGCTGTTCGCCTTCATTTCCATAAGAAGATTATAGTGGAGGGGACACACTCAAATGCAGATGCGAAACGTTTTTAACAAGCATCATAATAGTCAGATGCTTGGCTAGTTCTCACCCAATTACCGCAAAGTTAAATCTCCATTTGCATCGAAAGACAAAATAAGAAATAATTCTGTTGAATCTCACAATTTCTATTTTTAATTGTAAAAGTAGTTAAATGAAATGTCTTTCTTAATAAAAAAAATACTGGCCTTAAGCGATTCGTATATATTTTGTATAAATTTCGGCTCTAATTGCAAAATGGCATTGTACATAACCCTTTTAGCTGTACATGTATCTGTGTTCACTCAGATCCACTGGGAATATTTTTTATTTCAATTAGGCTGTTTGTATATCACCATGCATCAGTTATCTATTTATTACCATTATCAATCAAACACTTCACACCCACACCCTCATTTTTTGAACGTTAATTATACGTAAGGTCGTAAAATAATGTTATCAAGGAGCAAAGCATAAACAATAGCAGCAAGAAATTGATTTGGGCGCCCTTTCCATTGTTTGATTAATCATAATTCACTTACACCATAAATTAAATAATATGCACTTACTTTCATTCCTTCTAGCCGAAGAGAACTCTAATTTATCTAGTCGATTTGAAATAAAGATGAAATCAATGTGAAAGTACAATTTGTTTTTTTTAAGAGTACTGTCTTTTTAGCAGTTAGCTAATTTACAGTAGGGATTCATCACAACTCCATAGCTTTGTATGATAAAATAGTATTTTTCTTGCTTAAAAGCGTTTTTCTAAATGGCAGTGCGTAAAAGTGGCATCTTTGAAAGGAGGCTGCCAGCAGACGGCGATATTAGCACGCGCCTCACTCTTGCTTGTAGCTCCGCGGTTTACTACAAAGGCAAGTAACTTGCAATGTAAACGAATAATTTATTACTGTTCTTATAACTTACAAACGTTTTATGGATGGCGAAAAAAAGGCATTCGCAAATACATTTGCATGGGGTACTGTTGCCACGAAATATAACAGCTTAAACGTTAAAATAAATGTAGTCTCTGTGGCTATCGAATGAATTCTAATCACGTTACATATTCTATTTTGCTCAACCAAAAGATCAGATCTCTGCTGAAAGCTGGCAAACTGAACTAACAAACCTAATGAACGAAGAAAAGATACACACAGGATCTGTTTGTTTTAAATAGAGAAAAGTCAGTTTCGCTTTTTTTTAAAGAAACAACTTCTTTCGCGGCTGATTGGAAAAATAGTGATCTTTCAAGTACCATAAACACTGAAATACCATTAGACTTTTTTAAAATTTTTGTTCAAGTGCATTTTGAGTGAAAAGATCCAAACAACGGTGTGGAAGTAAACTTATACCAGTCTTTGTTAGCTACAGTGTACTGACAACAAGAGGAACAAAACTACCTATTTGTAATGGACGTGCTAGTCTTTATATTAGCATTGATGTTTTCTCTATTCAAATTCCTACATTCAGACAAAGAAGGCTCGATTAAATTACAATCCATGTGTTACAAAAATCAAGAAAACAAAGCATAAATGTAAAGTAAAAAATGTAGGATTGCGCCTTGTAAAGCACGTGTATTCGTTCGAAGTCTGTTTGTACTCTTAAAACCGTAATTTATGGTCATGTTCTAACTCAAGAAATGCGAAACTTCATCACGGTGAAAAGAAAGCTCGAGCAACAGGATTAGAGCGACTGTTCGCAACGAGTCACTTTATTCAAAATTGGAGTATCTAGCCATTGAGTCGTGACTCTGAAGGATTGCTTTAGTTGTTTGAAGGAAGCAAATTATTCATCTAAGCTTCCCACCTAAATTTTGCTCAAAATGTCCCGTTTCAGAATGTCAGTGTGCAAAAACACACGAGCAATGTTGGTCATGAATTTGAATCGCCGTTGAGTTGGCTTTGTACGACTAATCTATAAACGAGAGGATCTTATTCTGCGGTGATTTCTCTCCCCCTCCCTGGCACCCCTCCTTGTGAATACGGCCCGATGCGGTTGCTAAGGGAACTTTTCAGGCTTGAATATAGGACGCGCCAGTTTGTTGGGTTGGTGTTGTGGTGTGTGTGGGGTGGAGAGAAGAAGGGGTGGTGCAGGCGGGGTTTGATTGACAGCCGGCCGAGCTGTCACTCAACCGCGCCGGCGGTTGGGGACAGACACCGGCTACGGCGCCATTTTCCGACCTCCCCGCGCAAGAGCAGCGCAGGTGATGGGGGAGGGGTTGGGAGAGAGGGGGCGCTGGTGGAGAAGTGCGGGCTGACGATTGGCCGAGGGTGCCTCAACCCGTGTGGAGAGTAACACGCCCCCCCGAACCCCTTTTACACTGCCGCTGTGCAGAAGCGCGGGCTGTTGATTGGCCGGGCTTGCCCATTCTCTGGGGGATTTGGGGGTGGGTGGGACGCGGCCCCTCCCCCTCACCCTCTCGCTCTGCCCCTGAGAGGGACTGCGGAAGCGGCAGGACACGCCCCCTCTTATGCAAATACGGCCGCGCGAGCTGTCGGTCTGGGGCGGAGGAGCCCTGTGATTGGCTACAGCGTGGCCATTTATTGTGTGACAGCCCCCATCACATGGATGGTTGTCTATTAACTTGTTCAAAAAAGTATCAGGAGTTGTCAGGCTCTCCTCTCTCTCTTCACTGCAAAGTGCCCAGTTGTTGGTTTCTATAACTTGCAAAGAGTAACGAAAATATTAAGAAATTCCACGCTCGTTCCTTCACTTTTTGGTTTTGTTGACGGACCGAGACGAGAAAAGTTTTTTTAAACCAACGCCAACCCCCTCCCCCTCTGAAAAAAAGACATTGAAAACAAAAGCTCTCAGAACATCAGGTTGAATGTACAACATGATGGAAACCGATCTCAAACCGCCCGCCCCACAACAAACTTCGGGGGGAACGGGCAACTCCAACTCGGCGGGAAACAACGCGAAAAACAGTCCCGACAGGGTCAAGAGACCAATGAACGCGTTTATGGTCTGGTCCAGGGGCCAGCGGCGGAAAATGGCCCAAGAAAACCCCAAAATGCACAATTCGGAGATCAGCAAGAGGCTCGGGGCGGAGTGGAAACTTTTATCCGAGGCCGAGAAGAGGCCGTTCATCGACGAGGCGAAGCGGCTGCGAGCCCTGCACATGAAGGAGCACCCGGATTATAAATACCGGCCCCGGAGGAAAACCAAGACCTTGATGAAAAAGGACAAGTACACTCTGCCAGGCGGCCTGCTGGCGCCCGGCGCCAATGCCATGAACGCCGGCGTCGGTGTCGGCGTCGGTGCTGGAGTCAACCAGAGGATGGACGGTTACGCGCACATGAACGGCTGGACGAACGGGGGCTACAGCATGATGCAGGAACAGCTCGGCTACTCCCAGCACCAGGGCCTGAACGCTCACAACGTGGCCCAGATGCAGCAGATGCACCGCTACGATATGAGCGCGCTGCAGTACAACTCAATGACCAGCGCTCAGACCTACATGAACGGCTCGCCCACCTACAGCATGTCCCCAGCCTACACGCAGCAAGGCACAGGTATGGCTCTGGGATCAATGGGTTCGGTGGTTAAGTCAGAGTCGAGCACAAGCCCCCCAGTCACTACTCACTCTCGGGGTCCACCGTGTCAGGGGGACTTACGGGACATGATTAGCATGTACCTGCCCGGAGCTGAGGTGCCCGAGCCCACCGCCCAGAGTAGACTGCATATGCCCCAACATTACCAGAGCGCACCTGTCCCAGGGACGGGTATAAACGGCACACTTCCTCTAACACATATGTAAAACTGTAAACAAACAAAAACTCAAAAATCGGACTTCTTTGGACTATTTTTGTACAGAATAATACATGCAGAAAGAACTTGTATAGAACCATGGGGCGGGGGTGGGGGAAACTTAATACTTCAAACGATTATAGTCCTATGATTCCTTGGTAGAAACTTTGCAAAAAGTTTGCAAGAGTCTTTACCGGTAATATTTTAGAGCTAGTCTCGGTTAAGGAAAAAAAAAGTTTTATTATACATGCCACTTTTTTGTACAGTATTTATCAAGAAAAACGGCAATCAAAATGTCCACAGTTTGTAAACTGAGAAATTGCCAATTTTTATAACAGTTCGCAAGTGTAAGCTTCTGTACATTTGCTATTGTTAACATTAATGCAGAGACGGATGGGGAAAGAGTGGCTGGAAAATGGGCATTTTAATTGTTTGGGAATTCTACGAATATGAAGCGATTGAGTCACCAATTTTACGAACTGTTGTGTGGAGTTTTCACGAAAACGGGCGAAATTTTAGATTGTACTAAATTTTTTTGTTCTTTTTTACTCATTGTTAAAAACAGCAAAATAAGGCCTGCAGGTCAAATCCTTGTTAATTAATTTATAGTCATGTTGTTTTTCATATTTTCATCTTGTTCCGAAACTGGAAACATGAAGTTACTGTGTTTGAATTATTTTCTTATGGTTTGTAATATTTCTGTAAATTTATTGTGACGATATTTTAAGTTTTCTCATTTTCCGTAGTGTATTGTGCAACTCGGCTGTGTATTATTTGAATCAGTCTGCCGACCAGTCCATGTATATAATTAACTAATACAGCCTTATAACAGAGCATTTCGACCTTACGTTTTTTCCATTATGCAGAGTTTGAGATGAATAAATTTTGCAAATTTAGACAATTGAGTTCCATTTGAGTTGTGTAGTTATTTTGTTGCTCTCTGCTTTCGCAAACCTTCATTACGCATTCGCAGTTGGCCATTAGAGAAACCTAAACAGGTGCCTGAACGTGAATGAGTTATAAAGACAGATCCCGACTTTAGACGTGTACAGAACAATTAAATTATCGCATATTATTTCTCAGCAACTAAAGTTAGCTGAATCCTTTATACTTTTCAATTTGTATGGTAAAGGCAGTGGATTTATACCCCTCCCCCAACACTGCCAATAAAAAAAATCAACTTTTGACCTGCTACGGACCTGTTAACGCATGTTGATTCTGACGCAGGGCTCAGTTCATATTTAAGAAACTGGAAAGCAACATAATGAATTCTTAGAAAGGCCTGATCTTTGGCTTTGCTACTTGTTGAGCTCAAACAACCAAGCAAAGTTGATTGAAGCATGTTATTTGTAAAATATATTGCACAGTAGCGTTCAGCTCAATGGATTATACACACTAAGTTTTAGTTTTTTTTGAAAATATAAATATTTATTGGGAATACATCAAGAGGGGTTTTTTGATAACTGTTGCTTATATGTTTTTTCAAAAAAAAAACAATCTTTGTATCCAATCAAAAAATAAACGGAGAAATGGAGAAAGACTAGAATTGTATAGAAGCGCGTGAACGGAGAACTCTTTGAGGGCAGAATGCCGAGGGATGTTTTTGCTCAGCTCCTGTTTCTCTATTCCCAGTGGGGGTCGGCAGTTGACTCTGCACAGTAGCGCAGTTTGGAAAAACTCTGCGTTAGATATCAACTTTCGGCATCAGTCAAATTCTCGAGGCTTGCAATAAAGAAAAGAAATACTGACACATGCAAGAAGGTTCTGAACTCTTCCCCACCGTGATCCCTACGTAAATCCTGTATGGGTTGGAAAGGTTTGAAGAGAACGCGAATGTTCTCTCAGCTGCGTCAGAATGAGTTACAATGATGAGCGTGCTCATTTAACTCTCCATTACTGTGGCCGCATTCTTACTGTTCCATTTCAGTGTATACAGGCTATGCATTATTGACAATAATCGTACCTTTTAGTGGGTTCACAGTATATGCATTATAATAAGTACAATGCTTAGGACCTGAAGTCATGTAATCCAACAAAGTTAGTGTCCTTTATTGCAGCCTGACCCTTAGGAATACAAATAAGAATAGGAAACATGTTTCTGACCATGAAGCCCTGGTCTAGGTTTCTTGCTGGACCAATGATAATGTTGGATTTCCACATTTGTGGTGAAGCTGAACATCGATATGTTTAACTGTAACAGATTCCAGTCCAGAGCTGTCGATTCGAAAGACTTACCATTTAAGATCCACTTCAAAAGTTGAGAGATAGCATTTTAAAATTTTTCATGGCTAGAAAAAGAGGGCGCCGGCTATTTTGTTATACTTTTAATCTGCCCCGTGTGTTTAATATAGTGAAATGTTCATTTTCAAAGGAATCCTGAATACTGGTAAAAAGGAACTAGCGAGTTTTACAACTACTTGAGAACTGGGAGGAGTTTAGTAACAGGTACACACACACACTATTGTCCCTTTTTAAAGACCCTGTTAAACAGAAGCCCTGGTTTTTGCATGGCACCAAAGGAATTTGCAGAATTGCACAGCATGTGTGATGCATATAGGGATTATTCATACGGTGATGGCTCGATTGGCCTCTCATGTACATTAGAAAGAAGTGTTTTGAATATGTCCTAACGGTCCTGCCGTTCATTTGAAAATAGCTGTGTAACCATTACGACATAAATTATACATGGTAAAACGTAAACCTTTTCTCCCGCCGACCCAAGTGGCACCTAAACGGATGCACTAAAATGTTGTTTTCCATATTTATTATGGAATTCTAATCTCTAACCTGCCACTGTAAATGACGCGTAAATAAAGTAACATCGTTCACGCCGTGATGACCCAGTGTCACGGGTGTTAAAGTGCAAGATAAAACAATTGCTTAACTTTTTTGAGGACCATTTGTGCTTTTCTAAATTAAATGTCCCTTTAAGGCGTGTAACGATTCGCACCACTGCCCGGTTTAGAGGCATTTCAACGGTAGAATGGGAAGATCTGTACGGCCTGAATATTTCCATTTCATATTGTATTCCACATTTCCCAGGCGAAATTAATCAATGTTACGATAAACTGAACTGCGCTTTGAAGCAAGGGAGAGGGTAATTTTACATTTGTTGTGTTGTCCAAACAGATCAACCTACCCCGAGCGAAGAGGGACTCTATCAACCGTGTCAAGCGCGTCTTTGCCGGACAGGGTCAGACAGCTTTGGTCAAATTAATTATTGATAAAAACCTACAGACGCAATCGTGGTCAGACTTTTCTAAAGAAAGCTTGATGTCCCACCCACATGATCTTTATCGCAATGTAATATGCTTATATGAATGCAAACATAGCATTAAATACAAAATAAAGTGCATTTCAAACGCCAAATGCATCAAATTTAAACGACTGCCTGCTGATTATCGTCTATCTTCTAATTTTATATTTTATCATAACTTTCCATTTATACTTGTAACAATTGTGTCTTTTTCGTAGCCCTAATGCACCATAAGCGAATATGTTTTGCTATAAATCCGCTGTACTTGTGTGGAGATTACCTGACAATAATATACATTGAATGAGAATAGATAAGCTAACGGAACATGAACTAATAATTACAATGCTGAATTAAATCAGCTAGGGGGTTCTCAATCGAGACCTTTGTATATTGGTCCATTGAGGGTTCCAGCTGACAGCGTTTTGACAGAAAATAGCCTCAAACCAGCAGAGTGCCTCGGAGGGACAAGCAATACCGCTAAAGTGGAAGTGTGATGGGATTCCCATTTAAAGCCGTTACAATAAAACGCCGCCTTTGTGCTAGCAAGGTTTAACTTTGAATAACTCACCAACACTCAGATAAAGCCGAAGAGGCACAGTAAATAAAGACAATTCAGATCGTGGGGATCTGCTGTTCGACTAGAGATTTAAAACGTTTGGAAAAGATGCAACTCTCATCGTGTCAATAGTGGAGCGTGTACAACATTCTGCCGACCCTATGGGTTTGCTTATGGTGCAACAGGTGCCATTATTTAATACATGCAGATTTCTCCATTGGTTGTTGCCCAAACGGAGAGGTTTCGCTGAGAAACTGAACGAGCTTGATCTGTAGTCGGAAGAGTGGGACGCTTTTTACGCTTTATAAAAATACGATAACTTTTCCCTTTTGAGGGAAAAGAGAATTATTTTTGTTTACAATCGCGCCACTTCTTCAAGTAGTGCGTAATGCAGATTACGAATGTTATTGAAACGCAGTATTTACTCAGATGATGAAGGGCGGATAAAAGAAACTTTAAATCTACTATAATTGTCTTTCTTATCCCATGCCAAATTCATATCTTGCGTTAAGTTGATGGCATGACTAGAGATGTAATTAGTCGATTAAACAAACCTCCGGTATAAAATTAGTTAACGTTGATCTCTTCATTTAACACTTTAGAGAGCTTGCTAAACAAAAAAGTCGTGGCGCCGACGTATTAACACCACAGACTGAGTTATCATAGCGATTCTCCTTCCAAAACTACATCTGGCAACTGGTGGGACCTATTGCTATATTATAACTGAAAAATGTAAACTATCACTTCCAACCAAGTACATGCTTTGCAATTCCTCTATCAATCAAGTAGTGGTAGCTAGGAATAAAAGAAGGATTTTTTTTGCCACACTAATAATACATTTCACTTTATACAAGGGACGCAGTGCTATGTTAATATTATTTTCAGTAAGGTAAATTTGTATAAATACACAAATTTTAAAAAGTCGAGCATCTGCGGTTGATATAGTCATTTAAACATTGTTATTTAAAATATTTTTTTTCTTTTCGAGAGTCTTTGCGACCTTTGGCTAGATTAAAAGAATCGGTGGGCCTATCAGCAGTTTGATTAAAATCTGCTCTGGCAACGGGAACAGGTTCACACCCTGACGTCATCGCCCTTTGCTAGTTGGCTCCCAGATTCCCACGGCTCCCAATCCAGAACACCCCTTTCCTCCCACCCACCCACCCCCAGGATTTAACATAAGTTTCCTTTAACGAAATCTCATCGCCTTTAAAGATCGCTTTCTTGACGCTCTGCATTCACGCTGACCCCCAAACCTTACATACAACATGATGTAAAACTTTAAAAAGTTTAAAAGTTGAACCTTCTCCCTGTTCAGTTAGATTAACCTAAACTTTGTTACTTTGAATGTGTCAGGTTCAATGCTTATAGCTATCTACGTGAATTCCCACAAAGCAAAACAAATTCCTGTTCCAGTTTGGAGAAACTAGAGTTTGCCATCGGCTGGTCTGAAGTGACCTGTTTGTCACCAGGCTCAGTGCAGCATAACCATCAAACCCCGAAGGAACAGTATCATCAATGATCTAAATTGTCCGCAAGGACGCAAATGGCACACATGAAGTTCCATTCTGTAGCACTTGTTTTTTCATTTTCACGCCAGGCATTCACTTTTATCCCCGTGTACTGTAAAAAAAAGTTGTAGCCTTAATAAATTGATATAAACAATTAATAATACTTGCCGTCATTAACATATTTTAGGACGACGTGAATTGACTTAAACTGCCTATATAAATATTCGGACACATATGCACTTCAATTTGCTAATCTTTTAATTTCTTCGATACGTTATGGTCCGAAACCTGTCACAATCGCAACACCAAATAATTCTCACTTTGCTTTTCTTTTGTAAAATAGCACAAGGTCAACACCTCACAACTACAAATGAAAGTCACAAAAACAGCCTGAAACGACTTTGCGGACTTTTGTACCTTGCGGCCGTAAACACAATGCTTGCTTGCATCAACCGAACATAATGAAATCCTCGCAGTCAGTTTTATATGTAAACATCAACTTGTGAATTACTGACTATTAACGTCTATATGCACTTTCCCGCTTTTTAAATTTATATCTATGTTTAAAATTAAAGTACAAATCAAAGTGACTCAATATAGGGTAACCGCAGTTCTCGGGGAATATCTGAATTCCAGAAACTACGTAACATTTTGATAACAACTAACAGATTAAGAAACTGATCAGCATTAATATAACACGATTGCTTTATTCTTTTTATGCAGTAAACGATAATTTTTGATAATTAATGCAAAATGTGTGTATATTTTTAAAACATAATTGGTGCGATCCTGATAAGTCCAACGTGTAATTTGTGCTTTTACATCTAAAAATACGTTGAGTTTTCTTAGAATGCAGTGGAGTTGAGCAGTACTTTCACTTCTTAGACATCGGCGTGCAAATCACTGGCTTCTGATTGAAGTTATACATTACAATTCCATTGAACAAAGGGGGCCCGCTACAAATCTATACAGGGCGGTTGCTGCAGTTTATTAAAAATGAAAGAAGAAAAGCACCACTTATTCAGCACAAAATAAAGGGACGAAAATACTTACAAAATAAAACTTTTTTTGAATGAGATTGAGTAAATTGCTGCGACCTAGTGAACATTTGTGTTCAATTCGGGCTGTTAAATGTCTGTTTGGCGTTTTGTGAAATGTTATTTCTTAAGATTTCTTTTTCAAATTACAGAACTTGGAAATAGCTGGCAGATAGATGGAAAGTAATTAAGGTATTAAAACAAGCAATGCATTCCTCCAGAGGACCTTATCAACCAAGAACAGACTCAGCATCCCCTCAATATGCTAATATAGGAAGAATGACGTCACAGCTCCAACTTGCCGCCACCCATTTGCGGAAACAAGGTGTGAAGTTCTGGAAAGAAAATTATATTTCCCATTCTCATTGTAATCATTTAACTCTCATCTATAGTTTTTAAAATGCCAATCCCCTACTGTTAAGTGGCTTCCCGCCTCTCCCTCCACCCATTATATGATAGGCTAGCATGTTATAGTTTTGGTTGACGCAAATAATTTAATAACTGCAAAAAAGGGAGTAGAATCCGGAATTTAAAATGCAATGAACCTTTACAACTAAATATTACTGAGGCGAGGGATCAGAATTTGGATTTACACATTATTGTACAGAAAAATATGTATCGTTTGATATTGTTTCATGTGTCTCAGCGATTCCTATCAGATTCGGAGTAAATTACTGTCATTCATCAGCTTTCATAATACTAAAAACTTTATTAGCTTGCTAAGTTTTATTTCAGGAGACGAAGGTCTGTGCAACAAAAAAAAGTCTCTTGCCTCAATAACGTTTGGTTGTGTTTTGTAAGTATGACAACCGGACTCCATACGAAGGACTTTTTTTTTGACTGGTAACAATGCCATTTACTTGCCCGGTGGGCCACCATCAATTAAACTTTAAGTTTAATTCTGGAGTTGACCATGTATCTAAACAGCTCCTAACATGTTCTGAATCAGATCGCATAAATCAAAACCTTTTGTTTAATCTAAAATAAAAGGCCATTCGTGTGATGGCATTCAATATATAATCGCAGGCTTTCTTTTGATTCACAGTGTAACAGTCCAATTACTCTGAAACATTCCTGACCAGCTGTTAGTTTACTATTTCGGAAGAATCGCAGTTCGTTCCCTCAGTTTTCATTCTGTTAGCTTAGCTGATTCAGTGCAGTCATTTATACATATAGTATTTATATATCGTATACATGTATGTCCATATTTTGAAGTTCGGGTTTACAATTTAGGGAGAGGAACGAGTACGCTCGTTTTCGCCAGAGGCCACCAAATACATTCATTACATGGAGGCGCCGCAAAAACGAGCTACCACAATGTTGTTGGTCAGTGTACGATCATCACCGATGGATTGATATAGTTCTGTAACCAGGACATTGAATATAATATTGATTTACAAAAACTTTCCTACGTTGAACATCTAATACAAGAAAGGTGAATGTGCGTTCCTCTGTTTTAGTTGGTTCGTATTAGCAGTTGAGTCATCAAGACCCCATTAGAATTGGCAATAACTTCTGAAATATCGAAAATTAGTATTCGCAAATATTTTTATAACATTTACAACTTGCAGTAAACTAAACATATTAGAAGTTTTCTGTTGCAGTCTTCAACCATGAGAGGCGAGCACAATGAGCTGGATCATAATGAGAGTTCTTATCCTCATCCTATCTCAGAACATTTTAAGTAAGATCTTTGTTCAACATTCTGTTAATCGCGCGTTTAAACAAACGACAGTAAACGATCCCTGTAAAAGATTTAATTCCAACCCACATTATGCAGCCGGGAAGAGGTCGGTTTACTTTAGGCGCTATTATTCAATAGATTATGTATGCATACGGTGTCCAATACAATATGTGACAACGATGTGCAAACTGCTGCTACTGAGCTATTCGGACTCTACTACAGTTTCCCACTTTACACCTAAAAGTGCTACTTGATCGCTTTGTGTTTCATTTCCAAACACACCCGGGATTAGTCCTCGTTATTATTGCTGGCATTT